GGAGGGGCCGGCTCGCCGTGGCGCGCGGGGCGCGACTGCAGATGCGGGCCGGAGTGACCGGGCCGTGCTCTCGCCCAGAAACTGGTACCGATGCTGTGGTCTTCCAAAGGGGCCTGGAGTAGACAAATTGCCCCTTTTTAAAAAAACGGGTAGTTCTCGATCTTAAAGCAGGTCCTACCTTTGACCCCTGCCAAGTCCCAGGCCTGGGTTGGGGGCTGGGGTCACCCTGCGGCTGCACGTGGAGGAGCCCTGGTCTCCTGTCCCATCTGGGCAGAGATGCGGCCAGTGCGGGCTTTAGAGCTTCATTCCCGCTGCCTGGACTCATAGAGATGGTTTTCATCTGCACGTGTTTTACTTTGCAGGTAGAAGGAATTGACTATCGGGGTAACATGAAGTCCGACAGAAGCCCACTTTTTCTTATTTCAAGCCAGGGAAGTGAAAGCAAACCATTGCCATCTTTCCCCAGGGATAGCCTTTGTTTTATTACCTGAAGCACCCACCTTTTCTAACGCTCACGATGCCGGAAGAGAAATCGCCTCCGCAAAAAAGGCCCCGTAGAAGTTTGTCAAGCAGCAGAACTAAAAAAAATGCATCCAAGCCTATTGTTTCGTTTTTTAACAATGTACCGCCCGCTAAACTTGCCTGCCCCGTTTGCAGTAAAATGGTGCCAAGATATGACTTAAACCGGCACCTTGATGACATGTGTGCTAACCACAATGATGCCACTGCGGTTGGTCCCGGGCCTGGCAGCTTAATGAATTCAAATGTGCCCACGGTAGATTTAACCAATGTTGCCGTAGAAGATGTAACACCAGATAAGTTGTCACCATCAAAGACGAATTTAAGCCCTGACCAAAGCAATTCAGCAAAAACGGGCTTAAAAAAGCAGACGAGTCCCTACTTTAAAAGTTACGGTGATGAGGTCTGCAAAAACCAAGATGAGCTGAGCCCTCAGAAGGTCAAAGTCATTCCTCTGGGAAGCCTGTCATCTAAATTATCCAGAAAATACATTAAGGCAAAAAGATCAGCAGAAAAGAATGGTCCTCCAGAGGGTTCCCCGGCCACAGTAGTTAGGATGACCGATGACTGTTCAGAGACTGAGGACAGGGACTTGGTTTTGGAAAACAGTTCTCAAAAGGAAAACATATTTACCTGCGATTCTCATAAGGGACAAGACACGGAAAATGCTGTAGAAGGCGCTCAATTAACGGCAGCCGCAAACCAAAAGTCCACCCAGGAACGTGGGCGACCCACCCTCGCTCCCGCCTTCTCGGATAACGCTCGCGTGTTATCGCTAGAATTCACTCTAGGGGATCAGTTACAGTCGCCATCAGAGGACAGTCCTGCAAAACCGGAGGGTGTCAGTCGGGTAGGTGGCGAAGGTGCTGGAAAATGCGAGGCAGGTCCTGGTGAAGGGAAAAGGCCTGTGGCTTCAGAAGCCAAAGCACAGCTGTCAGATGGCGAGGCACCATCGCCCAGTTCTACACACGATGCTCTTGAGTCGAGTCACAGCTGGGAACTTCCTCAGGAAGGTGACAGTGAGGTCACTTGCGGAGGCCCTTCGGAGCAGGGCCCGGGCTGTGCTGTCCCTGGCAAAACAAGCCCGGCCCCGCCGAGTCACCCGTACTACCTTCGGAGTTTCCTTGTGGTGCTGGAAGCCGTGTTCGAGAATGAAGATGACAGGACGCTCTTTGACGAACACGAGAAGGGAATTGTCACTAAATTTTATCAGTTATCAGGTATCTTGTTGGCTTTCGAGTGTGTGTGTCCCATTTGCTGCCCTGGTTCGGGCCCTGATGCGATGAGCAGTAGTCTAGTGGCCACAAGGAGTCAGTGTGGTTTTGCGGATCAGCTGGGGCTGCTCAGGGACCAGCCGTTAGGGGTTTCCTCCAGGGAAGGACATGTATGGGGACAGGATTCTGTGCCCTGTGCTCTCTGCATCACGCCTTTCTGTGTGTACAGAGGCCCTCCAGGAACGTCATTCCGTTCAGCATCTTTTCATTGTAACATTGGTGAGATGCCTTAGGAACTTAACTCTTACCTACATCAATTAGTCTACGACGGTTTCATTATACTTTTCCCTTAAAGTTGCAGAACCTATCGATGTTATTGATAGTTGTCAAACAACATTTTATAGATTTTAAAAAAAACCCACAAAACCAAAAAACAGTGCGACTTCGGAAAGGGCCCTTCGCGTTTTGAGCATGCCATCTGGGTCACAGGTAGGCCGTTTTGTTTTCGCACAGCCTTTCCCCAGGAATGAAAGCAAAAGGAAATACAGGAAAAAACAAACCAAGGTTTACTGAAGCATATTTTCCCCCCCCAACAATAATTTAGGTTCCTGGCCTCTGTCTTTTAAGTCTGGGTGTGGAGGAAATGGAAACTTGCAAGCTAAGTTGGTCCATTTAAAAATGTTAGTCTGTTAGTCTGTGCCTCGGTTCCTTGGCAGCCAGTGGTGGCTCTCAGCCAGAGGTCCAGGTTTGGAACAAAAGCCACCCTTGTGATGGCTGCTCTGTTTATCCAAAGGGCCACAGTGGCACGAAGGAACCGAGTCCCTCCCGAGGTAGGAAAAGCTTGCTCGCAGGCCACCCTGACCTTGGGTAATACGTAGCCAGATCTGACTCCTCCGTAGATTTTTAAAATCCTGAACGTTACTCTTGTTTAAGTGAAAGATTTTTGTTTTAATTTCGATGTTCGCACAATTCACAAGTGGCGTTATTATGGGATTCCTTTTGTGGTTGTTAATCACCTGAGAATATTTTTTCCATTGATTTTTTTTTTTCTATATAGAGTGGGAGGGAGAGGGTGAGGGAGAGAGAGAAACATCTATGTGAGAGGGACACACAGATCAGCTCCCCACTAGGGATGGAGCCCGCAACCCTGGCATGTGCCCTGACCGGGAATCGAACTGGTGACCTTTTGTGCACCCAACTAACTGAGCCACACGGGCCATTGCCACCCCCTCCTTTTTATAGAAGAGAAAATGAAGTCTCAGGAAGGTAGAGTGATGTTCGCACAATTCTCAAGTAGCAGAACTGGCCCCGGGCTCTCCATCTGGGTGTCCTTCCTGTGCTTTGGTGACAAGCACACATGGCAAGGAGACATTCCCATGGGGACTTTCTATTTGAAATAAATTACATCTTCCACAGGAAGAAAAGGTTTTCTTGGAAGATCAGTTGAGGAAGCATATATGTATTTCCAATAGAATGTATTTTTACCTCGGTTTTAAAAAGCAAATGATATTTGTACGTTGTTTTGGAGAAGAAAGATAATATTTCCACCTGATTGCAGATAGTGGTCAGAAGTTATATGTAAGACTTTTCCAACGTAAGTTCAGCTGGATTAAGATGCATAAGTTGGAATATGAAGAGATCGCCGCTGACTTAGCCCCCGTGGTCGGAGAACTGGAGCAGGCCGGCTTCCTGCAGACAGGTACGAGCCGTCCAAGGAAATGTAAAATGAAAACAGGCCACGAGCACTTAAATTTCTGCTGAGTGATGGTGACTTAATATGGTGCCATCTCCTGGTTGGTGCTCGATAAATGGTAACTGTGTGTTGTTTTAAATCGAGTTTGTGAGCTTAGGACAATACGTTATTGGTGCGATGTTAAGCCATTCTTTGCCTTTGGGGTTAAGACGACCAAGACAGTGAGTGTCTGCTCTTGTTTTCTTGACTGTCACGGGTTTAGGGCCACACACTGCACGCTCCCCACTGGGGATGGAGCCCAAAACCCTGGCATGTGCCCTGACTGGGAATCCCAGTGGGGATAGGTCAAAGGTGACACTCAGCCCTCCTGTGTCTCCTTCCAGCAGCTCACTCAGATTCCTCATTTTAGGGTAGAATAAAGCTGGTTTGTTTGATGCTAAAACTGCCTCTTATAACTTCATCTACCCCTCCCCCTCCCCCACACACACAACTTAAGAGTTGGTAAGTCGATTGTCCCAGGAACCCGTTAGTTAAGCCTCTGTGAACAGCAGGTAACCCTGGTTGTCTTAGCAGCAGCTTCCACTCCTACCTGATTGAGCACAATGTCCTGGAAACTTAGGCTTGGGGACAATGACTGATGGAAGCCTTGGCGTTTGAGTTGCTGGTGGTTTAGCCTGAAATAGGCAAATTGAGCCAAAGCCAGGTTTCTTGGTGGCTGGCTCTGCAGTGGGGAGCCATGAGGACGGAAGCCAGGGTGACTGGTGGGCCTGGATAGGGCGGAGACGGGGAAACGGAGGCGCGGGGGCTCTGAATCAGGGCGCGATCAGGCAGTGGGACGTGGCACCCTCCACGGGCCAGCGCTTCCAGCGCGTCAGGGCCATTGGGGCCTCTGGGTGCGTGGGTTCCCATGTGACTCAGATATGGTGCAGGTTCCATAAATCTCCCCCTTTCACAGGCATGCCAGGTGGCTGCTGCAGGTGCGCCTGGACCTGCCTTTAAATAACCTTCAAGCAGCAAGCCAGAGCCCCAGTGGCTCGCTGCTGCCCTCGGTCAAGTCCAAGTCTTGCCCGTGACCCGCGCAGGCCTGTGCTCTGGCTCTGGCATCGCTCCTGCTCCCTGTGCTGTGGCCACACAGCCCTCCCTGTGTTCCTCAGCACGCTGAGCGCATGCCTGTGTCACAGCCTGGGACACGCTGCCACACAGATCACCCCTCGCTTCATCCAGCTGTGCTCTGGGTGACCTCATCCAGAGATTTGTGTGACCACCGTTTAAAATCCAGCCTCACTGCCCTGTTCCCTTTGCCTTACCCAGGTTTGTTTTGCTTTGTAAGCCGTTGCCACCACCTGACATATATATGGGGGCCCAAAAAAGTGTATGCACACACTTCGAATAATAAGGGCAGTGCTATTAAAGTACATTTCATTTTCAAAATTGAGCTATTAGCTGTTGAAGTGTGTATACATTTTTGGGGACGCCCTGTGTGCTTATTTGCTTATTTATTACGCTAGGAGGTAAGCTCCCTGTGGCAGGACTCGGTGGTTCCTGTAGTGGCCCCAGGGCCGTAGCACGTTACCTGGTATACAGGGCACCCCCAGTAAGTATTGCTGAGTGGGGGAAGGGGGCTCCGCCCTAAGCTGAGAGTGTCTTCAGGCAGAGACCGACGGTCTGGTTCAGTTGAATCTGTCAGAGAATGGTGCCTGGGTCCACGACGCATGACATCTACACGTATGTTGCATGAAGAGTTACCAGCCGGAGGCCTGTGGGGAGAAGGGACAGCTGATGGTCAGCAGGCTCTGACCGTGGGGAGGGTGGCATTGGACCTGGAGAGAGAACGAATATACAGTGAGCTTTTAGGGAGGCTGCCCAAACTGTTCTGGCTGTCCACGTGTCTATTTTATTCACATCTCCTTTATTTTTTACTTTTTTTATTGTTTAAATGCTTATCAAGATACAGAGTATTTTATTTTATTATTGATTTTAGAGCGGGAGGGAGAGGGAGAGAGAAACATCGATTGGCCGCCTCCTGCACACCCCCTACTGGGGCCTGAGCCCACAACCCGGGCATGTGCCCTGCCCTGGAATCAAACCGGCGACCTTTTGGTGCCCAGGATGATGCTCAGCCACTGAGCCACACCAGCTGGGCCCTTTACATTTTAGTGAGAAATTCTGTTATGAGTTTTCTGAGTTACCTATTTTTCATACCCTTTAATAATTGGTTTGGCAAATTAATTAAGATTTCTGCAGTAGAATTGCATTTCATTTGCATCTAACTAAGCGTTCTTAAAGGAAATAAAGCTCCAACATGCTACAACTCTTTAAAACAATTTTTTTAAAAAACCATTTCAGAATCCGAGTTGCAAGAACTCTCTGAAGTGCTTGAACTACTTTCTGCTCCGGAACTAAAAACCCTGGCGAAGACCTTCCACTTGGTGAACCCCACTGGCCAGAAACAGCAGCTGGTGGATGCCCTGCTCAAACTGGCCAGGCAGCCCTCTGTCTGCACCTGGGGCAAGAACTCGCCCGGAATCGGGGCAGTGATTTTAAAAAGGTTTCGTTGGTTCTTGTTACAGTGAAAAAAGCATTTAAAATGTTGATAGTGTAAATTAACTTCTAACAGATGGTACCTGCTTTTGAACTGAAGTTGCTGATTTCATTTGCAATTAGATTAAGAAGGGAAAAGTGTCTTCATTTATTCAACAGCCTGGATTCCTTCTTAGTTTATTACTCACAATTCTTGTGATACCATCCTAATTTCTAGGACCAAGGAAAACCGGGAGGCAAGAGAATACAGGCAATAGGCCTTTAGCAAATTCTAGTCTTCCATTATTCAAGAAAAGTGCAGTTTTAACTACTCCTGCAGGATTTAAGGGTAAACTATTCAAATTTTTTATTTCAGTAAACTGTCCATTGACGTGTAATCTGTTGGTGTTAATAGGGCAACTCTCCTAGAGTTTAAACATAAACATTCACCCCCCTCGCCTCTCCGATGGTGGCACTAGTCTCTACCGCGCCCGCAGGGGGTGCAGCGCTGTTTTTGGGTTGACAGCTGCTGGGAAGGAGAGGAAAGTGTGACGTCTTCCACTAGGCCAGTGGTTCTCAACCAGGGCTGACTGTCCCCTCCCAGGCACATGTGGCAGCATCTGGAGGCATTTTTTATTGTCTTGACTAAGGAGGGGAGTGGTGCTCCTGGCAGTTAGTAAGTAGAGGCCAGGGAATGCTGCTGAGCATCCTGTAATGCATAGGACCTCCCCCCACCTATCGCCCCCAGCAAAGAATTACTTGGCCCAAATGTCATAGTGCTGAGATTGGGAACCCTGCTCTGGATGGCATCTGAGTTGGGACAGCCCTGGATTTAATTCAGACCTTCAAGCCCAACTTGAGGGCATCCAGAACCAGACTGAATTCACGGTGGGGTCACCCTGGAGGGGCAATGCCCCTGGACGGCTTCGCCCATCAGAGGACAGCTCCAGCCGTGGTGTGAATTTGTACCGCGTCCTGGTGCACGAAACCCATGCTGCTTACCAAGAGCCTGCGATTGTGACATTTAACATATATACTTAATCTCAGCTGTCACTTGAGCCAAGAAGTGAGACTCACTCATGTCAAATAGGCAGTACTTTTATGAGTTTTACTGCTATTTTACATGTTCGTGACCAGCATCCGTCCCATCCTGCTCTCTTATTGAGCCACAAGGTACATGAAACCATTTGGAAATAAAATTTCATTGACTCCTCACTGAGTTCCTAGTGGGGCTCTGTGCCCCAGAGAGGTGAAGAAATGCCCCAGAGTCACACAGCAGGAGGGGTAGATGTACCTGAGCCTTAGAGTAATGAATGCCCCTTAGCTTTGTTTTACATGAAAATAATTTGCAGCATCTGAGAATCCAGTGCTGAGAAACGGGAAGGTTACTTCTCTCTCGTCTGTTTCTCAGAGCCAAGGACTTGGCGGGACCATCGCTGCGAGTGTGTAAAGGGCCCCGGGCTGTGTTTAGCCGGGTCCTGCTGCTCTTCTCCCTGGCGGACTCCCTGGAGGAAGAGGAGGCGGCCTGCGGGGGGCAGGGCCAGCTCTCCACGGTGCTGCTGGTCAACCTGGGCCGAGTGGCGTTTCCCCAGTACACAGTCAATCGGAAAACCCAGGTCTTCCAGGACAGAGATGACCTCATCAGGTGAGATCACACCAGCCTGCAGCCAGAGCTATATTTTTAAACTTAGGTAAAATATTTCATTCCTTTTTTCCAGCCACAGTACAAACACAAGTTCATAGTCAAAACAGTTTTTTGTTTTGTTTTTTTATCTTTCTGCCTCATGTGTATACGTTTCTAAGACTCTAAGGAGATTGTAGAAATGCGCTTAGATTACAGTTGCCAAAACCAGTGAGTTTTGGGTTAGAGCAACAAACGGCAAACACTTCCCCTGGCTTGTGTTCACAGATAGCTTTGGCAGGGAGCATTTTTTAAAGTGTAGACATTTGAACAAACCTGCCTTGTGAGCCTGTTGTTGGCATGAACGAGGCTGAAGATGAATGTTACCCTTCAGATAAAGCTAATACCAACGTACTTATTTATACCAGACTCGTGGATGTGGTAGATTAGAAATTTCCACTGGTCTATTTTGGTACATGGGTTTAGCGAATGTGTGGTTTGAGTGGCAAAAGTAGGCTTCGATAAAAATGGTACAGGTATCACAGGAAGAAGATACTTGCATTGCCTACGAAAACACCATTTAAAAGAAAATAAACTTGCATTTCCTAAAGTGTCGCTTCTGATTCTCGATCCCAGGTTTAGGACTCCTGTGAACTGAATTTGATTCTGATACTTGGTTTTAGGAAAGTCGTTTACATGTTGTCTTATATGTGCGTTCAGGATAAGTTACTGAATCAGTGTAAACTGATCATTGAGGGGTGGGCCCGAGAAGTTCTAATTTGTAGAGTCTCGGACAGTGTGTCCCAGCGGGGGTGACACTGGGACTGAGACTTGAGAATGAGGAATTCGTCGGGCCAAGGTCTGGGTGTCCGTGTCCAGGCAACGCGAGGGCATGTGCACAGGCCTGAGAGGGGACAGCCTGCCCAGTCGGGGCAACTTGGAAGGTCTCTGTGGGAAGCTCCACGGGGCCACGGGGCTGGGGTGCTCGGCCTCGGAAGCCCTGGTAAATGGACTGAACCATGTTTTCTGATTAACGGGGGGCTGGTCAGCATCACATTTATAGAATGGAACAGGTTGTGCCATCGTGGGGTATGTCTGGTTGGGGGGGCCTGTGTTCGTTCTTCTAGGCCACTCCACTAAAGCTCCAAGTTCAGTTATTACTAGAAAACAATTTAAATCTCTTCATTTCAGTTTTTTCAGACACACTTTTGCCCTTCTGAATCAGGTCTGGTGGGAGGTGGGACTGTGTTCTGTAAGCGCTCATTCACATCTGAAACTCGGGTGGCACGGGATGTCCCCCCAGATACGCAGCCGCTGCCCACATGCTGAGTGACATTTCCACCGCGATGGCCGGTGGGGACTGGAAGGCAGCTAACGAGCTCTCTCAATGCGCCAGGAGGGACTGGAACAAGCTGAAAAACCACCCTTCCCTGAGGTGAGGTGTTTTGGTGGGTTTTTTAAGGTACCTGTAAAAATGTACTTACTGACCAAGTTGTTCCGGCCACTTGGGGTGATTTTCTTCATGAAAAACTTTCTCCTTCCTTTCTGTGGTCAGACCTCCTGGGGAGGTGACTTTCCCAGTTGCTTTGCCCAGAAAAGTGCTGTGTGGAATAGAAGGAAATGTCAGAGAGTTCAAGGGGTTTATATGATCCAGATCCATGTGCAACACACATTCATGTGAGCACACGGTGGGCTGTCACGGGCCATCCCTGGGGGCCGGCTTCCCTGAGTATTGCTCAGCCAAATTCAATGTGGGGGGACCCAGCAGCGGACAGACATTGGGGGAAGTGTGCCAGACGTGTTCTCTCAGTGGAAATTCAAATATAGGTGTTATTCTGAAAGGGAAAACGGAATTGCACATTTACTTCCAAAGTTCAAGGTCACAGTGCATGATCCTATGTTTGTTTGTTGGATAAATGGTAAACATATTCTATATTTAAGGAATTTTCCTTTATTGTTATGTAGTGATGAGAAAAATTACTATTATTAAATATCTCTCCCAAAAAACATTTAGGACATGAAGTTCATACAGAAATAATGACTTAAAAACCATAGGCAGGAAATGGCATCTGTTAAGAAAAGATAACTGAAAATTTTGTCTATATTTCGTTTGGGAGTGTTCTGTAATTGAGACAGAAAATTGAGCATTTCCATAAATGCCTGTCTGGAAATGAGACAACCAGTGTGGACTTGCTACCCTGTGATGTGCATGCCCAGTGGAGAACTTGCTTAAGATAATTGCCGTAGCCCTGAAATACGAGTGTCCTATACCTTTCACATGCCACAGACTAATAGCCTCCATCTGACTTATTGTAACCACGTAAAGGTGTGAAAACCAAGATTAGTTTGCAGAACGTACAGAGCCCTGTGGCTGGCCCTGGGCCCTGGGCATTCAGTCCGCTTGGTCAGTTTATGACTGTCTCAGGGCAGATAAACCAAATTACCAGACTGTGGCCTACGTGTCCATTTCAGGTACCACGAGAACCTGCCGCTCTTTCTGCGCTGCTTTACCGTCGGGTGGGTCTATACCAGGATCCTGTCCCGAGCCGTCGAAATCCTGCAGCGACTTCACATGTATGAGGTGAGAACACAGACTCCCACCCGGCTTTTAGGGACACGCCAGTGTTGAGCTGCAGAGGGGAGCCCACGTGGATACTTAATGTGGGCAGCCTGCTGGCTCCTGGGTGAGCAGGGACATGGCTGGATGACCAGCTGTGTTGTGAGTTGACAAGTGTGCACCAGTGTGGCCTGAGGTCACAGTCTCTGCAGCTGAGCCCCCAGAAAGCTCTGAGGGGAAACCTCACATCTGCTGTGTTTCCTGGACAGCTGTCACGGGTCATTCTAGAAATAATTTGTAATCACAAATCTGAAATGTGGTCGTATCCTTTCTTCTACTAAACATTATGAGATTGCTCGAGTTAAATTCTGTTATGTTTGACATTCTGCATTGGAAAGTGGTGTTTCACAGAGGCTATGCCAAAGCTGGGTTCTTGACCGGGGTCCATCAATCCCAAGAGGATCCATGGGATGGGTTTCGGGGAGTCTGTGGACCCCACACTTGTGTGTATGTGGGGTTTGTGCATTTTCCTGAGGGGAGTCAGGAGATGTTTCAAAGAGATCCATGAACCACAAAAAATTAACATAAAGAAAGAACAGTTTGTGTAAACTTAGAGCAGAGAGTCTCCCTGAAGTTTCCTACCCGCCCGTAATTCCTCCCAGCGTTGGCCCTGTGACCTGCTGGGTTCCTGGGATCAGGTGGGTTTGCAGCCCCGGACCAGGGCTCGGATGCCTGGAACTCGATCCTGTGTGGCCCTGCGCCAGTGACTTGTCTGCAAGAATGCCGTGCAGTGCTCACAGTTGGCAGGGGCCTGGGTGGAAAGCAGGGACACCTCAAGGAGCTCAGGCCCACTCCAGGGGCTCTCCTTGGCTTATTTTAGAATGGAGAGCTATGCTTTGTAAATATACGTTGCAACCTTACTTGGTTTTTTGGTGTGTACGCGTCTAATGAGCTTCCTTTGTTGTTGCGACAGGAAGCGGTCAAGGAACTGGAGGACCTTTTGTCCCAGAAAATCTATTGTCCTGACAGCAGAGGCCGATGGTGGGACCGGCTGGCTCTCAACCTCCACCAGCACTTGAAACGCCTCGAACCGGTACTCAGTAGCTAGATACACCTGAGCTGTTCTCTTTAAAATTTTCATAAATTTCAAAAGTATAGCCCTGGCCAGTGTGGATCAGTTGGTGGAGCATCGTCCCGTGCACCAAAAGGTCGCCAGTTCAATTCCCGGTCAGGGCACATGCCTGGGTTGTGGGCTCGATCCCCAGTAGGGGGCGTGCAAGAGGCAGCCTATCGCTGTTTCTCTCTCAAATCAATAAAAACATACTTAAAAAATAAGTAAATAAAAAGTATAGCAAACTACTAATACCTTAAAAATCTAAATGGAATTAGGATATTTATTTTTTAACTTTCTTTTGTCCACCTACTGCCAACCCTAAAAGAAGTAACAAGGTCACTAACCCAAGCATGGCAATGAAGGGAGCAGGGTGGGCAGTGGGCCCTGTGCTGGGACTCAGGGACTAACCAGGAATCAAGGGCCAGGAGAGCTAGATGGCTGCGCCCCCAGCAGGTGCTCTCCAGAAAGGTGTTTTTTTGCTCTGGGAATGGGGATTTTGTTCACCTGTTGCACGGGGACAAGGTGAAAGCTGTCTTATTGCAGGTGCTTTATGGGCAGCTCTGTGCCTCTGGGAAGTACTGTGCTTTGCTACTGAGCAGGCCACCTTCTGTCCCGGGCGCTCGTGTTCCCTGTGGCAGGGATCTTGGATCCTCTGTGGCTGAGCAGTGCGGGGCTTCTGAAGGCGGAGGCAGCTGAGCTCGACGGCAACAGTGGCCCTTTGTGCGGTGGCTGGCGTCCCACCCTCTCCATGCCAGCCCTGCATCTGCCATGAATGGGAAGGACTGTGCCTCTGGGAGCTCTCGTTTTTCCCGGTAGCGCATTAAGTGAATCAGGGTGACATCGGGGTGGAAAAATTGACCCTGGCTGTGGAAATATGACAGACTGGTTTTTGCTGCCTTCAACTGAAGAGGTGCCTTGTTCCTAAGAGCGGCCAGCGGGGGAAGCTGTCTTCTCTCTGGGAGGAGGGTGTGGTGCTTCCGTACCTCTCGTGGCCATTCAGCCGAAATAGCAGCAGAACGCACCTGCCAGCCCACAGGCAGACTTGGACAGAGGCTGTGCTTCGGCTGTTTTTTCCTTCATTGAAAAACAAAATTCAAAAGGGTTCACAGCCTTCCCCTCATGCCCCGTTCTGCTAGTGGGAGTGTGTGCTTACATCCCAGAGTGAGACAAGCCACAGAGCCTGCTTTTTAAAAAATATTTTTATTGATTTTTTGTAGAGAGAGAGAAACATTGATTGGCTGCCTCCTGCACGCCCCTNGAGACAAGCCACAGAGCCTGCTTTTTAAAAAATATTTTTATTGATTTTTTTTTTAGAGGNTTAAAAAATATTTTTATTGATTTTTTGTAGAGAGAGAGAAACATTGATTGGCTGCCTCCTGCACGCCCCTTACCAGGGATCAAGGCTGAAAACTGGGCACGTGCCTTGACTGGGAACGAACCGGCAACATTTTGGTGCATGGGACCCACACCCAGCCAACCGAGCCACACCGGCCAGGATCATAACTGCCTTTTTTATCTTGTGTGTCAGAATTCCCTTCCTTTTCAAGGCTGAGTAATATTCCATTGTGCGGACAGATCACAGTCCATCTACTGGTGGACTGTTGGGCTGTTTCCACCTTTTGGCAACTGTGAGTAAAGCTGCTATGAACCTGGGTGTGCAAGTATGCGTTCGAAACTGCATTCAGTACTTCTGGATACACACCCAGAAGTGGGGTCGCTGGGTCATAGGGTAGTTCCATTGAGCTTTCTGAGGAGTTGCCAAGCTTTTCTTCACAGCATTTGGATTATTTTTACATTTCTGCCAGCAATACATGAGGGTTCCAATTTCCTCCCACTTTCCCCAACACTTACTAGTATCCATTTTCTGACGACAGTCATCCTAGCGGGTGTGAAGTGGTGCCCTATTGTGTGGTTTTGGTATTTTTGTCTATTTGTCCAAGTCTGAGTAACCTTAGGAAACGCATTTAACTCTTCCAAACCTAAGCTTCTCCCTATAGGGGAGAAATCTGGGCAGCTCTGTGAGACTCACCTGGGAGCCCTGAAGTGTCCCATGCCTGGGCCTGTCCTGCAGGTGCTCAATCTGTGGCTTAGGGGTGGGAACAGCTGTCTTCTTTCACAGCTCCCCNTCAGGGGTGGGAACAGCTGTGTTCTTTCACAGCTCCCCAGGTGATGCCCCAAGAACTGCTGAGCCAGGTCTTTCTCTGCCATCTCCTATGGCCCACAATCCAGGGCGTCCTGGACCTTCTTGGTGTCCTTGAGGGTGTGGCAGCTGAGATCTAACTGGGAAGTTGTGTCAGGAGCACTGCCCAGGTGCTTCGTCGGAACATGACTCACCTGCGCATTCAGAGTGTCAGAGTGACGACTCAGGAACATTCTTTATCCCTACAAGTGCCGCTTTGTCCATTTTCAATTAGAAAAGTTGAATCACTAACTAACAGTGGGCTTCCTGTCCATGACATCAGTGGATGCGGCCACAGGGTCCATCCGCACCCTGACGTGGGACCGTGTTCTTTGCTAGGCTATCAGGTGCATCGCAGCAGGGCTGGCGGATCCCGAAGTGAGGACGGGGCATCGCCTTTCGCTCTATCAGAGAGCTGAGCGCCTGAGAGCGTCCCCGAGCTGTCGGAAGTACAGGCACCTCTTCCACCAGCTGCCGGAAGTCACCGTGCACGACGCGAAGCACGTGAGTCTGTCTTGGGGGTTTCCTGAGTGGGAGGAGCCCAGAACGATTTGTGGTGTCTTTCTCCTAGACTTAGGAAACTCGGGCGCTCCCTGTGGATAGTGGAGCGGCCACCTTCCCTGTTCTCACCCAGTCCTACCTCGGGCCCGGCTGGCTGGCAGGCTTGCTCAGGCCCTGGGCTGAGTGTCTTTCTGGAACACTCCTGAGCCAAAAGCTGACAGCCTTTGCCGGTTTCGCCTTCTTGGTCAGGGCCCCTGACCCCAGGGCAGCTCTGGGGTCCACATGCTCCCTGGGGCTGAGACAGTGACCTGTCTGCATCTTCACAGGTGCCACAGTGTGGGTCACCTGGCCTCAAGCTGTGCTCAGAATGGGTGGCTTT